AGGCTTGAAATTCACAGACCTTCCTAAAGACTCTGTAGTTCAAGCAAAACTTATGATAGGTACAGAAATTAGCAGATGAGATTCCATGGTTTATGCTGTACAAGAGGTTAAGGGCAACCAGAGTCCTTCCTGGTCTTTGTGGCATTTAAAACATCCTAGTCCACTGATGTTGGTAGAAGTATGATCTGAACCAGGTGCTGACATACAGCTCTGGGGGTGTCTGTCCAGGCATATGAACCAATGCATTTCCCTCCACAGACAAAAATGTATTGCATTAAGAATGGAAAGTACATGAAAGAGATTGTGGGGAAGGAAATAATGCCAAATTGAATGTGAAGAAGTAAAAATGAGGAAAACAAAGTAGAGGGGGAAAAAAGACTCAACCTGTTTGTGCTGGGAAGAGGGGAGGAGAGAGGCCAGCAGCAATGCTGAGTAAAGCACATGCATGCAGACATGAGCTCTTTTCTCCATCGTAAAAGACCAATTGAGATACTCCTTTCTACTTGATATTTTTGAAGGGAGAAGTATTTACTTCATCCTTTCCAACATAAGAAGGCAATTAGGAAAACAGGGATTCAGCATAGTTGATGGCAGAAGCATCATACTGAGGTGTAAGTAAATAACAGTTCTCTTTTGCAGCTTAGCCTCAGTTCTGCAAGGATGCACACTTGCATACTGTTCCATTGACATGACTAAGCAGTAAAAGCAGTGAAACCAATTATGTCTTCCTTGTACTGGTTATTCTCACGCTAGCTTTCCCCTATGTACTGTCAGGCTTCTGTCTTCCCTTCCTTGAAAGACTTCTTCCAAATATAGATATACAACTCTCTTGTATGTTGAAGCAATAAAAACCATGGCAGACAAACTAAAGAAGCTAAACACAGATGATGCCAATGTATGTGTTAAACATCATTTATCAATCTCTTTGCAACTTGCTCCTTCATTCCACCCTTTAACCTGCTTACCTATGGCACTTAGGTTGTGACTTACATGGTATTTCATCAGGGGATGAAACGTTGAATACCTCTTATGAAGTTAATGGAACAGAATCTTTTAATTAAATGGTAGCTTCAAGAATTCAGCAGAAAAGATGCTGCATCATTCAGGTTGTAAACAGGATGCTGGTTGTAGCCACCTTTATAAGACAGGCTGCTAAGTGCACTGTTATTTCTGGACCTCCTCCTAAAGCTTCACATTGACTTTAATAGGCCAGCCCAGTACTTGCTGCTTTGTTATGAGTCTGTATGGAGTACTTTTTGTTAAGAAGCTAGCTCCTGAAGTACCTGTAAGGCAGCCCCCCTTCCCATGCTTCGGTAATGCTAAACCAGCTGCTTTGCCTCCCAGCTGAATGCATGGAGATGAGGACCATCGTCATCACAGTAATACCCACTGCATCTGACTCACTAGAGCTCCTGCTAGGAGAAGTAATAAAAGGTACATTTCTCTTTGTCAGCAAGAGCTGCCACACTGCAAGGAGGAATAATTTCCAAGTTCAGATTTTCTATTTGTAA